AGCAACCCCATCCCGCCCTCCGGCCGCAGCCAATCGCGGACGGGTCTGTGCTGCGTCACGACAGGAGGCGGAGCTGTTCTTAAAGCAGCCGATTCCCTCTGGGCGTGCCTTTCCTCGTCCTGTCCCAGAAGAGTTCGGTCACTCTCTTAGTCCGCTAAGGTTCCTCTCTCCTCCTGGCCTCCTTTTTCTTTTTCTGCGTTTGCTCTGCTTCTGCGGTACTTGCTTAGTGTCTTTTTTTTGTAACTATTCCCCTTCAATTCTCACCTCCTTTTTTTCTGACTACTCATACTAGCTCCCTTCCCATCTTTGTTGCAGCTTTTCTCAGCTGCGCTTTAGTGCTGAGAACTGAGAATCAAAAGAATCAGAAGGTTCGAAAGAATCCAAAGACGCGAAAAATATCAGCAGGTTCCAAACGCTCTGCTCTGGAAGAGTCAGAGGACGCCTAGGCCGGATTTCCTTTACACCCTTCCCTCCACATTCATCTCTCAGTTGGAGCCCAGCCGCCTGCTTACAGCTGAGAATGAAAAACCTGGTGGAGCAGAAGGCTCGCTAGCCCCCTAGGCAGTCCGTTTTTGAGTTGTGTGACAAAGGTGTCTCCTTATGTTTAGAGGAAATCCACTACGTAGTAGGGCCCCTTTGTGTTCATGTTATCTATTTCTTTGGCGTCACACCCACGTCGTTCACTGCAACTAGTTCTCGGTGGGCGCTGGTCTCAGCCTTCATTAGGCAGGTAGCGTTTCATAGTTTGCCTGCCCACCTCGCACCCCTCTCGTGAGCGAGTTACATAGTTAGCGTGGCCTTAGAAGAACACTTTTAAACCGGTTTTAAACCGGCCTTGAAAGGAGGCGGTAGACACTTTAGCTTCAAGAAATATAAAACTTCACAATCCTTCCATTCAATATGAAATTCTACCCATCTAACAATGTAATTGCGGTAACTGTTGTATTTCCTTTTTTTCAGAGGTACATATTTCTCTTTTTTTTGGAGAGGTTTTCGCTATAGGGCGTGTGCGCTCGCCAGACAGAGAGAGAGAGACATAGAGACAGAAAGCGAGAAATCACCCCCCCAGGGGGGATGGTCATGCCACAATCCCTTCTCCTCCATTCTCCTCTCGGGATCTTGGGCACGCACGCACACGCACCCGGTGTGAGTTTTAAGCCACCGGTCCGGGATGCGAACCGCGGGCGAC